AGCAATACACTCTGTATAGATGATTTAACAGAATGTGTCAAAGCAATTTGAAGAATTTCAGGTGCACCAGAGTGAAGAATACTGCATCCCATTGCCACATGTAGATTTTCTGGCATTGAGCAAGTTGTGAGATAATGATGTAGTCATTCCCTCAGTGGGGTACTAATCCTAGTCCTCCTGATTGCCTGCTATCATAAAACCTGTGAGAATTTAGTATCAGTGAGATGCCTCCTTTCTGCCAAAGTTGACTATAATTGACCAATGGGTTAAAAAAATTACAGGAAATTGTGAACATCTACAGAATATGACTCCTTAAAACATGGTTTAAATATATTTAACTTGTTCATACAGCCCCAAATCCCTAAATATCATGCTTTTTCCTATAGTTCTCTTAATCACTTGCTCAGTAATTTTTCTTCTCCGAGTTATTTCTAAGAATAAAAATGACTTTCTCAATAAAGTGATTTCTTCCTTTCAATGGCCACAAAATTAGGACTGATTTAGTTTTTCATCCCTCAAAAGCAGAGTGTAAAGGAGTAACACTCAGGAAAAAAAAAGAGTGTATTGTTGTGCAATAGATTTTTCCAATAGTATGTAGTAGTGACCTAATGAAACTAAGCTGTTTTTTGATGTAGTCATAAACAGTCTTTGGTGGCCTACATGTAAGAAGGATATAGTTTGTTGGTGGAAGTAGTACCTTTTATTGGCTCAGTTGGATTAGTGGGAAAAGAAAAGAACCTTTCAGGCATACAGGTCTTTCAAGAACTTTGTCTGCTTTTTTCCAGCAGTAGTTTTTTCCAGTCATTCCAACTAAAAGAACTACTTCTATTTAAAAATTTTATCTTGGAGTAATGGTCCTAAATGCTCTTAAAGTTGCCGTTGTAGAAGTTGGCCACCGCTGTGTCCTGATCACAGCTAGGACAGCCTTCTGTCTGCCTCTGTAAATGTGACGTCTTGAGATGCATCAAAGCAGTCATCCAGAAATATTGAACCCAAGCAAAATGATAACTTCTGGTGCTTTAACATCTGTTCTAAAAAATAGCCTGGAAGGCCAAGATGAGTAATAAAACCAGTACAATATGAAGGAGCAGGAGCCAGTGTAATTACCTAACCAATCTCATATAAAGCAGACCATTACACCTCTGACTTAGTTCTTGTGTAACAGAGACCAATACTTGAACTAGATCAACACTTGCTTCATGTAGGTCTGAATCACTCTTGCCCTTTAACCACTTCGGCTATATAATGCACTCCTAATACTTTCCTCAGGCTTCACTTGTTATTTTCTTCATTTAGAGGTGAGACAAAATCATTATTATTTCATTCAATTAAGATATCATATTGGGCAGCATAACCTAATTCCAGTCTGGCTCCAAAGAATTAACTCAAAGACAGTACGAGTGAAAGATTTTTCTCTGCACAAAATGTCAACTTTTAATTTGGAAGTTTGTTCTTTTGTTACCTTTCTTTAAACATACAGAACTATTTCTGCTAGTACTTTCTGAGTTACCTAAAACACGTTCATAATCTTTACTGTTTCTTTCTCCTCAAGGTGATATTTAAAATAATACACAAGAAACTGAAATTGCAGCACTGCCTGTGATTAAGACTCTGGCAAATGTATTTTACTTGCTCTGAATTATCTCATATTTAAATAAAATAACACTTTGAAGAAATACAAAGAACTTAAAAATGACACATTTATTTCTCCCTCAGTAATTTTCCACCTTCTAACATCTTAAATAAGGAAATTTTGTACTTTAGAATAAACTTTCACAGAAAATTGATCAACAAGATGAATGCCTTGCTAGGACAAAACAGCTGAAATTACCACAGCAGGGTGGGTTTGTAGCTATGTTCGTACCTTCAATTAGGCAATTCAGGCTGAGCAGGTAACGTGAAAAGAAAGGTGGGCAAAAGATGGAGCCATAAGAGGACATGAGGTTCCAATGGTGAAATCCTGTGACAAGGGTGTGATTTGATGGGATTCCTAGGAGGAGATGAATTCCTTTCTGGCTGGGCTGGACTGGCTCTGTGCAGAGGAGTCATGCATGTTTGAGATCTCCCCCTGTCTATGTCATGCTCTCCTATGATGCTATTAAGTGACGTTACTGATCACTTGTCTTTTTTTTTTTTTTTTTTTTCCCATTTCCCTTTTGTTTACTTCATCTGCCCTACTTCTCAGCTTTCACTCCAAACACCTTTTCTCTAGGTTTTTGTGTCCCACGTTATCACTTTTTCGGGTATTTCAGTTTCTCATTCTGTTTTAAAGTCAACCTTCCTGCCGCCTTTTTTCCTCTTCTTCTAGGTCTTTGTGTTCCTTCTTTTTGTTTTTCTCCAAATGTCCCTTTCTTAATACTATTCCACCTAGGTCTATTTAACTCTTTTTTCCTGATCACGACTGGAGTTGAACCTTTCACTCTCCCAGCCTTTTCTGTGCTTCCCCACCAGCATCTATATAATTTCCAGTCAATTCTGCTTTCATTAGTAATTTCCTTTCTCTGCCTCCTGGGCATGCAGGACAAGCTATATTCACTTTCAGAAACAAAACAAGCAGCAAGTCTACCAAAAAGTCCTTGGGCAAAGCAAGAGAAGTAATAGTTATTGCCAGCTTTCCAGCATCAGCCGAGACTGCAGTAGGGCAGTCTCATCCAGACCTGAGGATGTCATCTGGGACTCCCTGCACAGTGCCACCGTACTGTGAGCAGTGGGAGCAGAGAGATGGTGGCTGAAGCTTTACTGAGAAGTGGAGTATTTAGATGAGAAGGAAAACAGGCTTTTCCACATCCTTTAGAAAGACAGTCAACTGGAATGTCTTTGGAATTTTTTTTCACCTATACAGAATATACTTGAAGGAGTAGCCTGTTCTAAGACAAAATGTTGTTAGTGGAATCATATCCTCACTGAACTCAACTGGAGTTTAGTGATTGACTTCAAAGATGTAGCATCATATTCTTCATTCACTGTATCTTTAACCCAATACTTCTGGAAATAAATCTGCCTTAAATTATAATTATATGAAGTTATATTTTTTTTGTAGTTCCTTGACTTATTCCAGAGAAAAATTAAAAAAAAAAAAAAAAAAAAACAAGGAGGAAAAAGGCTTATATAGTGTAAACAAGTATAACTTGTAAATTAAGTATATAGATGTGGTGCTATTGTGACCAGGATTAAAGAGAATCCCTGTACTTCTCTTTGTTAAGAACCAATGTTCATTTCTGCTTACAGACACTTCTATTTCCACCTTGTCATTACGTAATGACATTTTCTTGTGGGGATTGTCAGAAGATACTGTAAACCTGTCCCGGGTATAGCACTAGGAAGTAATTTAGCCCTGTTTTTTCTTTCTTAAACGGAAAATAAGACATTTCTGGAGATAACAGCTTTCTGCTTCCCGGATGCCTGGTGAATCATTTTATTCCACATTATTTTTCCATGTTCCACTGGATTTATTTTAAAAGGATGTAATTTATCAGGGAAAGGCAGTTGTTTCTTCGCTCTTAGATCATGCCCACACTTCTTAATTGCCTCAGTATCCAATGGCTTCCATTTAAAGGAAGATTCTCACCTTCTGCCCAGATTCAAGGGGACTGATTTGACGAACCCATTATGGTTTTGTTGCTTATACTGCAGAACTAGCTGAACTTCCCCATCATGTCTGTGAGCAGGATATCACATGGTAAGGGTGAGAGGAGAAGAAAGGAATTTGTCTGAACTGTGGACAAGTATATCTGAGCTTGCTGCTTAGAGAGTTGGCTGCATGGGATATATGAGATGTGTAAGTATGAGACAGCAGATGCCTGTGAGGTTGAAAAAGCAAATTCCAGCAGGAATGCAATGGGCTTCAGTCCAGGGAGTGAGAGCACTGGTAGGTGGGATGTCTCCTTTACATCAGTCACAAAGCCTTGGCTTAGTGTAAGAAATGCTAGGGATACTCCACTGACAATGAAATTCTATTTAATTTTACAAAGCAGTTAGGTGACTGCTGGTTGTATTTTTCTTCTATTTACTTTGTGTGCCTTTATATACAATGATCGTATATGCTCTTCCTGTCATGTTTGGGTTGCTAACTCAGTAGATGTTGCTTGACTGAGCCCCTCTCCGCGGGTAATACTGATTAGTCTCAGCTCTTCAATACAATGTTAAATCTGTGTGACAATGGACCATGTTAATTTTCCTAAGACAAAGTAAGGTCCGCAAGTATGAACTTGAAAGAGCTTGAAACTCTTTCAGAAATTGTTCTTTTTTATTATTTATACATTTTTATTTAAAGTAAGACTTTTATACCTTTTTCATACTAATACTTCTCATGTAGATGTGCTTATAGTTGTCTGTGTAAATACAAATATTCTTGGTGGGAGACACCATTAAGGCCTATAGCAGTCTTAGAAAACTAGCCATGCTTTTTGCATATAAGGATCTACTATATGTGCGTGCATTTGAAGGGCTAGATTGTATGCCTTTGTCTTTATGAAATTAATGAAATTTTGGGAGCAGAATTTTCCTGTTGATTTCAGCTGGACCTGCAGCTAACTGTAATGTACATTTATATTACCATTGTAGTTGTTCTGATCAGAAGGATGTTACTGGTGTAATATTTGAAAACACAGGGCTTGCATAACTATCGCTTAATAGAGTTATTGCAACAGCTAATCTTATTGTCAGGCAGTGTAATTCCTATTTACTTTTTATCTTTCTGTCATATTTTTCTCCTTAAAATCCAAGGAGAATAATAAATAACATGAAAAATCACCGGTAGAAGACAATCTTTCACCACAGAAGTACAAATCAGACTGCACTGTTGTTTCAATCACTTCAGCAGAAACAGATTAAAAGATAATGAAATGATTAAAAAAATAGGCACAAAAAGAAACACATAGAAGTCCAATATGAACATAAAGAACTTCTTTGTGAAGAAAGCAGAAAGTCTTTTTTCCAATGTCCATCATATTATATACATTTGCTGACCATTGTTGTCATTATATTGCCTTCTCATTTAGGAGATTGTCAACTTCAACTGTCGGAAGCTGGTTGCTACTATGCCTCTTTTTGCTAATGCAGACCCGAATTTTGTGACTGCCATGCTAAGCAAACTGCGATTTGAAGTGTTCCAACCTGGAGATTATATTATCCGAGAAGGGGCTGTGGGGAAAAAGATGTATTTCATTCAGCACGGTGTTGCTGGTGTGATCACCAAATCCAACAAGGAGCTGAAACTGACAGATGGCTCTTACTTTGGAGGTGAGTAGTAAAAAAATAATTGTAGCATTGCAATGAATGCACTAGATCAAAACATGTTCAGATATCAGACACACAGAGACATCAGAATAAGTCTGTTGTCTTTTGCCCAGACAATTCCAACTGCAGTGAAGAATGCAGAAAATATTTCTGAATAAGATATTCAGAGTCTGCTTACTGTTGCGAGGATAGCTACTGAAGATGCAGAATGACCTTCCTGAGTTTTGAAGTTATTTTGAATTAAGAGCACTGTTATTTAACTGACAGTATTTAAATAAAAATGTAATAATTTGCATAGTAATTTTATAGGTACGTAAAGATACAATAAACAGGGTTCATCTTCTTTGAAATGGGATACAATTTTTGAGTCATAAATGTAAAGTACTTCTAAAAGGTAAAAACCACTGTAAGAATTACAAAATCAGGCAGTAGATAAAAGGCCATTATTTATTTGGGATATTTTGGTTTTCATGAATATGTCAAGTTGTTATTAGTGCTTTTTCATTGAATTTTAGCACTCAGCAATGTTTATTCTTCCAGTACATACTGTGAGAAACTGGAGACTGTGTCTGACTAGATAGCTCTCTAACAGATGTATATTAATAAAAACCAGACATGAATTTTAATCCAAAATAAATTCATCTGGTAGTCCTAATGAAAAATAGATTCTTGTTTAGATAAAGGCATCTGAATATTTATATTTGGGTGAAAGCAATCTCTTTTTCTATGTATAGTAATTGACTGGTATGAAAATGTTGTTCCTTGTGACTGTAAGTTATCTTCGTGCAGTAGAATAGGTGTCTGCTTCTGTGAGTAGCAGCAAGGCTGGTTTCTAGAAGCTGACTGAACATTTGTGTGTACCACTGCTACCCATGGCAGTTACAGTTAGTTGGTTATTGTATTAATTTTCTGATTAATCCCATGAATCATCCCAGAACTGAGTCTAAAGCATTCAGAAAAGGTTCAGTTGAAAGCCTAATCAGTGGCATTTATCTGGTATACGGAAGTGGGAAGCTTAGAAAAGTGAATTGGGCTCAGTGTTTGAATTGGTCTGTAGAGTTACTTAACTAATCCAATTTTAGAATAATACACTAACCTTGTCATTCTGCAGTAGCCTCTGCAAGGTGATTTGTACCAGTATTTGTAGAAGCACTTTGGTAAAGAGGTCTTGTGCTTATCCCACAAGCTTAAACTGTAGATGCTGAAGGCAGGACATTAAGGAGAAACAAAAGGTAAATGCTGAGGATGAAGAAACAGAGCAACCTTGGTCTTGGTCTTCTCTATGCTAAGCAGTGCCCCAGTTTATGAAAATGAGTTTGCAAGAGCCTGCGTGCTGAATCTGACCATAATGCTCCTCTGAACCAGCAGAGGATCAGAGGAGATTGCACATGAAAGTATTTTACATAACTGTCAGCCTGTTGTTGCAGTGCAAACGACTGCTTAGCTCATCCTGTTCATCCGCTACCCTTCTTAACAGGAATGCAGACAGAAAATAAGCTATTTGCAATATCCAGGCACCACAAGAACTTGCTACATTGCATACCAAAGCAGTTTTGCTCATCCAAACTGCAGCTGGGATGAGACAAGGTGTGCAAAAATGGGGGCAAATGCATCCAGAGCCTGACAGCTGCTTGGGCAAATGGGAGATAATAGCTGCTGCTGGATGCAGCCTGGAGAGGCGAGGTGAGGTGAGGAAGGGCAAGTCCACAGGGAGAAAGGGAACCTGAGAAAGGAAGTGCTCCAAGGTCCAAAGTGGTGTGATTCAGATCTGTTTTAACAAAAATATCATATAGCATTTTGAACTACCAGAGGGGTTTTCAGACCCTCGAGAAGAAAGACCTATTTGCCTGCAGTTGAAAAGAGAGGGAACAAGCTGCGCAGTGGATAACTGTGAATTGAAAAGTCTTGTTTTGTTAAAGCAGAAAAAAAAATTTCTTATATTTTCATGTGTCTGGAGAAGGCACTGTCTGAAATGTGTATCAGAATCTGAGTAAAGCTTCCTGACCAAAGCAGACACAAAAAATGCTGCACAGTGCTACAGTATCATGGTGGAAGAGTAAGCCTGTGTCCAAATCCTAATACCAATAAGCCCTTTTTTGCCTAACGGAGACATGCAAAATATGAGGCTGTGATACTGTTTAAGAAGTTGCAACTTACAACTTCAGCTTCAACTTTATAGCTCCCAGGTCTGACACAGTAACTCAGCGTCAACACTTATGCTCTCACAAGCAAGGGAAGGACACACAGACGGGAGGGGTGTGCCATACCCAAACAGATCCTTTTTCAGTGTTTTAATGTCTAATGAATTGGAAGTTCCCAGTCCCAGCTCAGAGAAGCTAACAGTTGGATGTCAGGTATGTCTCAGAGCTGAGTTTTCCAGGGGCTTTGGCTCAGGTGATTTGGGAGGAGTCCCTGGAGAAGCAGGCTAGCCTCCAGAACACATGGAGGGTTTTATCAACATCCTGCCTTGGATTTGGAAAAAGTTTATCAAACTTACAATATGTAAAATACTTGTGTATTGACAACTCTGTACTAATAGAAAACTTCTGACACTCTGGAGTTGTTGAGGAACTGGAGGTTAGTGTGAAAGCCAAAATTTAAGAAGAACCAAAGCAGTGTCACCAATATTTGGGAGAGGCTTGAATGGAAACTGTTGGGAGAGCGAGCCTGGAAAACCAGAAGTTGCAGTAATAAAGGGAGGAAATATCTAGAAGTTTGAAGACTGAGTTGCTGTTGAACATTTAAATTATCTTGCCTGATCTTTGTTCTTAATTAAAAAACAGGCTTCCCTATGGATCTGGGTGTTACAGGTCTCACACGAAAACAGATAAACCTTACTGCTTGGAAATTCTCAAAAAGAACATGCCTGGATAACTATCAGTGGAGTAGATTAATCAGACCACACTTCACCTCTGTCTTACAATCTCTGTTGATTTTTGAGAGAGGTGCAGAGTGGTTAGCCCTCCATAGGTCTGGAATTGATTACCATCTGCCTCTTCCCTCATCTGTGCTCAATGGTTTCTCCTTTCTGGAGGAAAGGAGTATGTACAAGACAGTAGCCACAGAGATGTTGTGGTTTGTTCATTGATACTGCCGTAGAAAGAGCATCCTATCCTTTAACCTTCACATGTGTTCATAAATCTAATCTTGAATTTTGTGTGCAGGAGCATTACTTAGCCCAGCAGCATGTAGGATGCTAATTTTCATCCCAAATTAAATTAGCCCAGGCTGCTGATTGAAGGATATTATCATATCACCCTATGTATCTACTCCAAGTGATAGTAGGAATTTGAAAGTAATTTCTGGTACTATCCTTTTCCCTAGGCCAAGTACCTAACTACCCTCACCCCCAATTCCCCTTTGATGGAATACACAAAGTGTGTAAGGGAGTGTGTGAGACATACTGACCAGCCTACGGTCCCTCAGATCTGCAATAAATATACCAAAGAACAATATCCCCCAATTATTAGGTGATAAATACGTTCAGAAATAAAGTGTTTTTTTTCAAATTTGAGGTTTACTGTGTTCTTTCAAACCTTTCAGTAATGACCACAGAGGGAATATTTTAAAGAGAGTGATATAAATTATGTCTTCAGCAGGCATGGATCGGTACAAGGATTGTCTCATAAAGATTCAGAACAATCCATTTTCGTTTGCATTTCACTGGCATTTAAAGAAAACAGTAACTTTTCATTGCCTTACCTTAAAATCCCTGCCCTCATATGGTGTGCTTATGTGAGTTTTTATAACAGGGACAGGAATTAGGTGATGAAGAATACCTGAAGCTAATTTTCACTGTGTTGCACAGTTACATAGTCATTCTACATCAGTGAAATGATGTAAGTCAGTTACCAGGGGAAATTTCCAGGATTTTAATACTCTATAGCTGTTTTAGTTGGATTCTCCCTGAATTTTGAGGAAATATAATAATTTTTTCCTAAATATCTGTAGATTTTTTTATGTCTTTCTTCACTTCTTCCCCGTTTTCTGAAATGTCTTACAGTTCCCTGTTACTAGGAATAGGATTGCTGCTACTTTCAGCAAAGAAGTAAATGAGTTTTTTCTCCTCACAAATAAAAGAAAAACTTGACCCATTGAGACTGACCCAGTTTTCATATGAGGGGAAACAAGTTTGCCCTCAAGGGAAATGATGAGCTTCTTCTTCTGGTTACTTCTGTAGGGAGAGTAAAATGTGAAAGAAAAAGGTCAGGAGAGAGTGGATGGTCAGGGCTATGTTAACACATAGGACAAAATCATAGGGGAGGTCGGAAGAGTGTGGGGAAGCACAATGGCAGTCAACAGAGAGAGGACTGTGTGGGCTGGGAGTCAGTAGTGCAAAGAAATACAAGGCGGAAACCATGAGTGCAAGGGAGTGGTGTTGGTATGAGATTGATGGGAAAGGGAGAAAAATAAAAGGGGCAAGAGCACATCTGAACAAAGATAAAGCAATCTTCAGAAGATGTAAAGGAACGAGAAGGTGCTAACACCGTTTGTGAACAGCATATACGAAAACCTGACTGCACATATGTTTACAGCTAAATTGAATTGCAATCTTGAGATTAACATACTTGAATTCAGCCTTCCTGGGATGGAGAATAAGAACCAGGAGGAGGCAGGTGAAAAATTGAAGCAATTGTATTTTGAGGATGTTGTAATGGCTTTTATTATTTAAGTTTTTGTAATCTTCTCCATGGTTTTGAGTATCTTCGGTTTACAGTACTGAAAAAGTAAAGTCTTTGTTAAGTACACAGCAGTGGGGAACGAGAGCTCCCCATTTTTTTTGTCTGTCTCAGTGCATATATGTGTTTCTGTTCTTTGATACCTTGGTAGTTCAAACTCATTTATGCTATAATTCCAGTAGTAAATGTTAGGGAGGAAATTTCCAGTTTTGAGTCCTACTGAACCTTTTCCTCAGAGTACCAGCTGGTTGAATTAGAAATTGCTCAAAGGCTTCTTGTGATAGGAGGAATTACTGAGCAGATTGTATATTAATTCTTCACTAG